TCACACACCTTTCTTTTCTTATTGCTTGCTTCACTCTCTCCTCTCTTCACACTATGTACTTTCTACACAATACAATATTCACAAACACTCATGACTTTTCTTCAATCTCATACCCTCTTTCCTCCTTCTCAACACTCTTACTAACGCCCACTTACACACTTCATTTTTCATACTTTACTTTGTCTCCATTATTCCTCTTGCTCTTTCTCTTCTCTCTCTACCTCAACTCATCAGCCAAGTACTCCTTATGTATTACATAAGTTGGTGATTGTTTTTTTTTCCCGCGAGTTCTGAAAACTTTCTTCATTGCCATTATTCTACTTGTCTCCAAACTTTTCTTGATTTCCACTGCGATAGATTATTTGTCCATTAATATAAAAAATTCTAGAGGGGGAGAGAGAGAGAGAGAGAGAGTTTGTCGGTGATATTTTAACATCATTCCTTTCTTTTTGTTAGCCCTAGATAACCAAAATATCAACATGGTGATTTCATTTGCAGTGCTCTTTATTACAATCATGACAGAAAACTAAACCTCCTTCCCCTTTATTGTTAAAGGCTCTATTTTAGTACCCTATTCCTGATAGAAAATGTTACCAATAGCTAAGACTAAACTATATGCAATGCAGCTAAACATTAAAAGCCACTTCACATTTCTTACTCGTTTTACAACTGTGGTGGCATCTTTGTGAATTGAATGACCCAGAAGGATAGTACTGTTGGAGGCAATAAGGAACAGGAGACTAGATGGTATGGTGACCATAAGTAAAACTAGCAAAACTTGAGGCCACTTTAGGCATGCCAAAATAACTACAATGACTCTAACAATCCAAGCACTCTGAAGCCATGTGTTATTGTAAATTTTAACTCTTGTCTTCTCATCTCTACTCAGGCTAGTTCTTTCAGCGTAGGTTTGACATAAATCATATATGCTCAAGAAATGACCTTCGTGTCTGGTTTCATGCTCATCAGATCTCCTAATAAACAATTTAGACTATCCAGATTTTTAATCTAGGCAATCTAGATTTATTTTTTTATTTTATATTTATAAAAATAAAAATTATAAATTTTAATAAATCTACCCTATTATCAAGTTGGACAATATATATTTAATTTAGATGGTCTAATTTAATATTAAATTTTTTATAATTTTTATAAATTAATTGTCTAGATATACTCTGTACAGTTTTGATTTAAAAATTTCAAGTTGTAGCTTCTTCTTAATTTTTCAAAGTGACAATTTGAAGATTATTTTTATTTTTATTTTTTAATATTATATTTACTAAAATAAAAAATTATAAAAAAATTTAATATTAAATCTAGACAATCAACTTATGAAAGTTATAAAAACTTTAATATTAAATTAGATCATTTAAATTAAATTTATATTGTTTGGGTTGATAATAAGATAAATTTATTAAAATTTTGTAATTTTTTAATGAATATAAAATAAAATCTAAAAATTTAGACCGTTCATATGCCCACAACGAATTCAAACACCTTGAGAACTAGGTTGGCTCCTCCCTTCCCTAATGCAAAAAGACAAGATACCCCTTAGAAAAGAGGCTCGTCCTTCTCTTGGTGTTCAGGTTCCCGTCTGGCATAAGACCATAAGGCCCTGTTTGATACGCAAGCCTCAATTTAGAGGATTGATATTGGGATTAGTAGTGAGAATGAGACTTTAAAATCATATTTGGTATGAGGTAATACTTATAGAGAATAATTACCTTTATTTTATTTTACAATTAAATATAAAGTATGATAAGACCATACTACCCTTAAAATAAAAAAAATGGAACACCTTCTCAAAAAACCATGACAGCACAAGCTCATCTTCTCCATGCCTTCGCGACTGTGCATCTTTTGAGAAAGGGAGATCGAGTTTGGACCTGTGAGAGAAGGAGATGAAAGTGATTGTGAGATCTAAACGATAGTGGCTATGAGATCGATGATGGAGAAGGAAGCGATGGTTGTGAGATCTAAAGGTCAGCGGTTGCGAGATCAGAGAAGGAAAACATAATGACAGTTGCAAGATCCAGAGGCTGTGGTTGCGAGATTGGAGAAGGAGAAGATGTTCGTTGGCTGGTGGCTGCAAGATCGGAGAAGACGAAGGTGGAAGGCCAAACGTGTAAAAAGAGAGAGGGTATTTTGGTCTAAAAAATCAATCCCAAGTTTAAATTTTCAATACCACCTCTCCTATGGGTTTCATTAATCTCATTTATATGGGTTTCATCAGACCCAAGGATTAAAGAATTCATCATATCAAATATTATATCTGTGGGTTTTTTCAATATTAGTCCCAGTTCCAACCTCTCAATGCCTGATACCAAACATAGCCTAAAATTATTGGTCCCTAACGAGACATAACAAATACTCCTTGCTTTAAAAATATAAATTTTTAATTGAAACTCACTTTTAATAAAATAATTATTTATTTTTAAATTAATTCTATCTTTTTATATTATTCTTATTTAATGAAATATTTTATTATAAAATAAATATAAAGTGATTTATTCAATAGAAATATTTTTAAAATAATTATGATTATATCTTAAAAAAATTAAAAAAATATATTTTTAATATTTAATCCTTCAAAAATACTTTGTATTTTTTAATGGATGATTGTAATTTAATTTAGTCATAAAATTTTTTTATTATTTTATAATTTTTATCTGTGAATTTTCCTGAATTATTTATTTAGTTCTTAAATTTTAACTCAAAACAATTAAGTGTAAAAAATTTTGATTTAAAAAAATTTAATTTTTATAAAAAATTTTCTATGCTCTAAGAATTGACTTTTATTCAAAATTCAAAAACTAAATCGCTAACTAAAAGAAAATTTAGAGACTAAAAAATATATTATTTATTGTGTTATTTTTTTTGGTTATTATCATTATTATAGAGCATAATATTTTTATATTAAAATATAAAATCATAATTTTGATAAGATGATTAATATATTTAATATATACATATACTCATATGATTTTTTTTTTGGTCAAACATATGAATTTATTATTTGATGACAAATTAAGGATACCCAAATCTAATTTATAAAGTGAAGCATATTTTTTTATGATAGAGAGGGTTAGATTTTTTTATATTAAGTATATTAAGAATAGTATATTTCATTAAAATAACTTAAATTATTTGGTTAGATATTTTTTAAACTTATATATTTATGATCTATTTTTTTATTTTTATATATAAGAATTTTTCTATGTTCTAATATTCTCTCTAATACTTTTTTTCTTTTTTATTTTCTTCTTCTTCTTATTTGGACTTGTATTTTTTCTTTTAGTTTTAGAGTTCTCATATCTATTCAATTTTTTTTTTCTTTTCTTCTCCTTCTCCTTTTCCTATTTTTAATTTCTTGTTTTTTTATCTTTTTGTTCTTTCATTTTTTTCCTCTATTTTTTTCTTCAATTGAATGGCTCACAATGCCATATTAGATTTATTATATTAAGTACATTTAAGAATAATATATCCTATCAAAATAGCTTAGGTTATTTGGTTAAATACTTTTGAATTTATATATTTATGATCTACTTTTATGTTTTAACAGTGAGGCGTTTGACCCGATCAAGCTTGGAAACTTCGCGCTTTAGATTATCTCTTATGATCGACTTGAACAAGAAATTAATCCACAAGATTATTAGGTAATTAAAGTCAGGTTTTCACAGTTAATTTAATCTCATGAATTGGTCGGGTCAAAAAGAAAGAAAGAAAGAAAATATCATGAATTTGACTGTGTACCGTTACCTCCAATCACAAAACGTGCTCACCAATGCTACACTGTTAACGTTAGTGACTCACGCTAGCAATGGCATTCAATAAGCTTGGCGCGGTTTCCACAAGATGACCAATTATTTTATATATGGATCATTTAATTCATCTAATGTCAAGCTGTCAACTTACGAGTCCACGAAATACGTTCCCCCTTAAATATTCCCACCTACTCAGCTACGTACCCGCCATCACGTCACTGTCACAAAAATGATTTTTTGTAAAAGTTAAAAAATACTTTTTATATTGATTCACAAGATGATGTTGTTTTGAGGAGAGTAAACAATTTATTTTCTATATTAATTATTTATTATAATTAATATAAAAAATTATTTAATTTTTTTAAAATAAATTAATATCTCACAGTTATTGTTACAAACCGATGTAGAAAATTAATTTTTTACATTTGTTATTGTTATAATTAATCTAAAAAGTGATTTTTATATATTTTTATATACTACCGCATCTCTATACATAAAAATAGGTGAAGAGGATCTGTGATTTCGAGTGAGGAAAATAGTGAAGATTAAAAAAAAAAATCCCATTTATGAGTGAGAAATCATGAGAAATGATGTTTATGTGGAAGGAGAAAAATAATGCAGAAATTTAAAAAATTTTTACATTGATTCTTTAGAGAATTGATGTAAAAAGTATATCAGTTGTAATTATAATCGACATAAAAAAGTAATTAATTTTAAAAATTTTAGGAAATTAATGTAAAAAGTAATTTTTTTTACATTTTTTACATCGGTTCTCTAATCTTAAGAAACTGATGTATAAAGTCTTTTCAACATTGCTTCTTAAAGGATTGATATAAAAAGTTTAACACACAAGTTAATACTTACAAAATTGTCATCATTTTGATTTTTTACATCGTTAGCTTGTCAATTAATGTGAAAAATCTCATGTGAAAAGTCAAATCTGTAGTAGTGTACACTAGTTTGAGCCGCTAAATTCGTTTTAATTTTTGTGCTTTTTTCGGTTAAACAGAGGGCTTATGTATGTTTTGTATCTCAGTTCATCAGAAAATAGCTTTTAAGGAATCTAATTCGATGATGGCCACATTCACATTATCTATCGGTCTACCCGGATCGCGGTCGTCGCCTATTATCGTTAGATAACATGTGCAACGTCCCACCAATAAACAGCATCCTTATTTATTAAGGTATTAATTAATTTCTGCTTTTCTGAAAATTCAAAATCGTCGATAACTGATATGCAAATATTGACAAAGTATATACATACATACATACATATATATATATATATATAAACACACACACACAAAATCTTAGTTAAACTACCCAAACTACTCAACATTCTCTGTAAAGAGATACACGTACGTATGTACAGATGCCCAAGTTTCCTTAAATCATGTCGACTCAACAAGATCCCTAGCAATGCCATTACTACCTTCATTTTCTGCATCATCCGACACAACTTTGACATACAAGAAAGCAGCGTTAACTTAAATGAAGAGGAACGCACAAGACAATACCGCCAACATTAAATAGTACCTGTCCAAATGGCTTTGGTCTTTGTCAAAGTTGTGGAACCAGCTTCTCACAATCACAATACAAGGAATGCCCAAGAACTTCCCAAAGCATGAAACAATGTCTTTCGAAAGCTTTCCAGGATTCCTCAATCTCTGATTCTCATCATCATCATCACTTCCAACCAATTCCTCTAACCCACTCTGGGCCAGCCCTTCCACGAGTCCTAAGAGAACATATTGAGGACTCAACCATGCCACGCTAGTCTTGTTGGGATCCTTATCATTCACCACTTTCTTCCTCTCAATCTCGACTTTCCATGCTATAACACAGCATATCACGGCACATACCATTCCCCCACCAATTCTCACTAGCGTCATTCCTTTGTTTTCATTAGCCCCACATAACCAAAATATCAGTATGGTGATTTCATTCACAGCACTCTTTATTACAATCATGAAAGAAAATCGAACCTCCTTCCCCTTTATCATCAGAGGCTCCATTTTAGTACCTTGTTCTTGAAAGAAAATGTTACCAGTAGCCAAGACTAAGCTGTATGCGATGCAGCTAAACATCAAAAGCCACTTCACGTGTCTCACTCGTTTTGGGACTGTGGCAGCATCTTTGTGAACAGAATGACCCATAGGTCCAGTACCGCTGGAGCCGAAAAGGAACAGGAGACCGGATGAGATGGTGACTATAAGTGACACTTCCAAAACTTGAGGCCACTTAAGTCCCAAAAAGCCAAAGATAGCTACGTTGGCTCCGACAATCCAAGCGCTCTGAAGCCATATGTTTTTGTATATTTTAGCTCTTGTTGTCTCCTCTCTGTTCAGGCTAGTTCTTTCAGCGTAGCTTTTACTTAAATCATGCTCAAGAAATGACTTGAGAACTAGATCAGCTCCTCCCTTTCCTACTGCGAAAAGACAGGATACCACTAAGAAAAGAGGCACGTTCTTCTCTTGATGTTCGGGTTTCTGTCTGGAATAGGACCATAAAATTACTACTCCCTGACAAGACATAACATATATAATTTTGGTCATCGTCATCGCATCCTGAGTCACTTGATAAAAAAGATGTAACACAAGAAAGCGTGGATATATATATATATATATATGTACTTACTGTAATGTATGAACCTGTGGAGAAGACAATGGTATAAAAACGACGACCAGATCTTTCACCGGTGAAGCGAGCAAGAACTATAGCTGCGAAGGAAGCGAGACCTTCTTGTACACAAACGAGCATGGCTGCTTCCGCCAGATGAGTTTTCATCGCAACCTTCGCGTAGAAGGTTACAATGATAGAGAGACATGCGTACTCCACCATGTTGTAGCTTGCAGCCAAACCTGCATATATAAAGAACAAGGAATAAATTAAACTAATGAATTTAAATTATGACAGCGGGGGTGTATTTTGATTTTGGTCGCAAGTCTCAGGTTTCAAGTGATTTTACCCAGCTAAAGCAAGCACGAGGAGTGAAAAGCAAGTGATCATGATACCATCCATGTGTAGCTTGGGCTCTAGAGGATCGTTCAGAAATGATTTCCATTATGCACTACTATTTCCGACTATCTTAGTACTCTTAGACACTATATATAATTTATTTATATTAAATGACCAAGTTGATGCTGCAATGCTTGTGAGATTTTTTGTTTCCCAAAGTCCTCGAAGATATTTGTGTTGTACATATCTCATTTGTCGATCGCATTCAATTCACATAGAGGATTGAATATATCTCATCATATACAGAACATATTTGTGTTACTCAATGCTTGGCGAGTCAATGCTTGGATCAGATATTTGCTAGGGCCTAGGTTTGAGTGGTTCCCACACCAGATGATCCCCACCCACTTTGTAATTTGTAAACATCTTCATCTAACCTTAAAACACCTACCCTTAACAGTGAAGACAAAATATCTACATTTCTATTCGTAAATCATACATCTTTTAAAAGCTTTTTATGCCCGTATTTTATAAAATTTATGAAGCATTAATATATGATCTTATGATCGTTCACTTGATATGAAAGTTATTATTGAGCAATATATGATGAAGAGGGGGATTGAGAGAGATTATCAAGTTAGAATTTGCATTTAATTAAGGTACTGTTTTGATTAGTGAATTTGGATTTGAATTTTGAATTTAAAATCTCACATACCAAATCTTAAATTTGAAATCTACATATTTCAAACTGATACACATATAAGTAAATCTAAATTCATAAATTTTTAAATGCCCAAATAAGTGATTTGGCTCAAACCTCTAAGTCTTAAATCCAAATGTATCCTAACATAGCAGGTATATTTGTAAGAAGATATGATAATTTTAAGATAATAAATAATTTTAATTGATTTTCTTGAATTGTATGAGTTTGTTAATGTGACTTATAAAATAAGAATGGATGAAGCATGAATTATTAGAGCTGGTAAAAAAAGCCGGTCCTTGAAGGGCTCGGGCTTAAAAGGACCAGTCCTTTTAAGCTCGAGTTTCCTTTAGGATCCTGATATTTGAAGCCCGGCCCTTGACATAGCAGGCTCAGGGCCGGCCCTACGGCTTTAGGCCCTTTTAATTATTTTTATTTTTTTTAAATTTTTTTAATCAAATAAAAAATTACTTCATTTTAATATAATACTCAATCAAGAAAAGTACAAAAAAAAACTAACTAAATAATATCTAAATAAACTAAAAACACAAATAAAATAATAGCAATGTAATAAGCAATGGATCGACTAAGCCGACAAACACCCAATCAAAATTAGAAGAGTAAATGTTGAACTGAATGAATCATTATCATGGATCTAAATGAATTAGGGGATTTAAGGTTGTATTTTTTTTAGAAAATAGTAGCTAAGGATTTCTATATAAAATTTATATAAATTAAGAATCAATTGTTGTCAAAACCTGAATGAAAAACAAGCTACAATGAACTATTATTAATTTAAAATGAGTTATTATTAAAATCTAAATGAATACTTATTGATAAAGGCTAACTCGAATCCACAAGTATCTACTCGAATTTTGACAACAAGTGATCCTTGATTAATATAATTTTTGATTAGTGATTCTTCATTGCTATTTTTCCTTCTTTTTTTTTGCCTTCCATCTTTAGTAAATATGGGCTAATATGTGATGTGGAATAAGATTTAGTTTAATTTTTTTTACATCAAAAAAGAGTGAAAATTATGAAAATTAATTAAAAAAATGCATATGCGGGCTTAAATGGGCTGGCCCTCGGCCTTGCAGGGCCGGCCCTTTTAAGCCTTAAATTAAATGGGCTTAAACGGGCCGGCCCGTTTAAGCTCGATTTACCATTTTGCAGTTCTATTTACAAGCTCGGCCCTACTCTTATACAGGTTTAAACGGGTTAGCCCGACGGGCTCGGCCTGTTTTCCCAGCTCTATGAATTATACATAAACGAACAAGAAGTCAGTGGAGGATATGTCTGTCATGTTATAGGGACAAAAGAATAACAAGTTAGTGGTGGAAGACTTCAAAAGATTGGATTATGAGAAATTCCAACAACTAAGCTTACGGGTCCTTTTTTTTATTTTATATTAATTATTAAACCTAATTTTATTCAATGTAAAATTTTTCATATTGGTTCAAGTCTGCTCATACTTGAATAATTTAATAGAATTTATCACAGTAATTTTATCTTTATGTTTAAGCTGCATAGTTCATATAGAGACAAAAGAATAACAAGAAATATAGTGAGTTCATATTTCAAAAGATTTCAAAACGCTACTAGAGTGAAGTTGCATTGTTCACCCAGATACCAGATCATGTAGCACCAACATCAAACATTAGACACTTATTAATAGGGCTGCACAAAAGACAGGACGGTACTGGACTTCACCCTAACCCGAAGTCCGGTCTCTTTCATGAAAAAGACTAGGTTAGGCAACCCGTAGTCTAGTCTTGTCCAGTGATAACCCGAAGATTAACAGGACCGGACTTGGTCCATAGGACTGGGAGACTGGTCCTGTCAGTCCAGTACTCACTTAGCTTTTTTTCCTTCTTTTTATATGAGAGGCAATTCCAACATAATAAACTCAATTAAGATAGTAAAAACACTTATAATAATAATAAATCCATAATAATTTCTAACAATAAGAAAAAAATATTTCTGTTATAGTCTAAATTATTTAATTTATAACTTTAACAAAAACAGTACTCAACAAAATTCAACAAACTATATTACAATAATAATTTAGAAACAAACTTAATAAATCTTTATACAATCATCTCCTTAGCATCAATACATTTTAAACATTTGTCAAAAATAAATTAATTATAATTATAATAAAAAATTAATAGACTGGACTGGACCTAGTGGTCCGGATGCCTGGTCTCTTGTCCAGTCCAACCCGAAAAATAGTCTGGTCTTTTTAGTCTTTTTGGTCCTGAAAGACTAGTGACTATACAGACCGAACAAGACTGAGACCATCTCGGGTTGGACTGGACCAGACAGGACTGGAAGACTTTTACACAGCCCTACTTATTAACGTTGATTGGGCCCTTATCATCTTTATCATCTTACTGAAAAATAAAATGTAAACCCAATTTCACAATGTGGGCCTAAGCCTTTATGACCCAAACAAATTCTCCAGCCTCATCTGAGTTATGACGCCCCCTTGGTTTTATAAAGAGGTCAATATTCATAAAGCGTTTTTTAAAATGGATTTTTTTTTCCCATCTTCTTTTAGGTAGTGTTCTTCTTTCCAGTAAAATTTCTGTCGGTGGCAATCCGTTGAAATTCTGAACTCTCTCCCCCAAAAATATATAATAAAAAAGAAGACGAAAATATAAAGTGGAGAATAAAGTAACATAATTAAGGTAACATAAAAATGGACAATAAGGTAACATAATTAATGTTTTGATTAGTGAACTTAGACTTGAATTTTAGATTAAAAATTTGACATTTCAAATCTCAAATTTAAAATACATGTATTTAAATTTATACACACATAAGTAAATCCAAATCCATAAACTTTTAAGCGCCTAGACAAGGGATTTAGCCCAAATCTCTAAATCCAAATCCAAATTCATATAGGAAAAATCATAATTAATGACCATTGAAGACAATTAATTTCATTGCAAGACCAAATAATTATGATATTACTTTTCAGGACTGAAGATCTAAATGTAAAAATTTGTTATAAAAAGATAAAACTACCCCTTGATGTATATTTGTTGTGATGGGGGAATTGATTGTTGTCAAAATAGAAATGAGACTTGTTTGTTCTTGAATGGAGGCTTATTTATCATATTACAACAATTCCTCTATCAAATTAATATTTTTTAGTTGTTAATAAAAGAATTGATTGTTATTATAATGAAAATGGCACTTTTTTTTAATGGGGACTTGTTCGATAAATCACAATGTAAAATCCCAAATTTTAATAATTGGATTGCCAAAGAATTAATCAAGTTTAATTATAATGATTGAGTAATTTGATATGGTGTGTGGCTAGAGAGGTCTAATAATCATATTTGATTTTTTTTTCAACCCTAAATATCGGTTCGAAGTAAAGTTGGGCCACTCAGGCGTCGAAAGAAGGAGAAAACATGAAGAGATTGTCTCTATGCCACATACCGTGGCATGTAGCACATCCGCTGCAGTACATAAATGACAAAGGGACAGGAGGGCCTCTTTGTACGTGTTGCGTATGCTATAGCATAGTCCTTTTTTTGCAAAATCTAGTTGTGAGCTGGTGTGAAAAACAGAGATAAGAGATAGAGGAAATAAAAAGGATGCCTTTTGCTCTTCTAAGGCTTTTTACCTTAGAGGTTTAAGAGCATTTTAAAGCTAGAAACACCTAAGGTAAGTATCCTAAAACTTCTTTTCCTCTCTTCCTCTTCCATTTCAATAGGGATTTAAGTTAGGATTTCAGTTGGAATGATGATTTTTGATCCATATAGATTATGGGTTTGAACTTAATGACTCAAATAGAGTTAATAGGGGTGATTTTGAGTACTTAAACCTAGAAATTATGAGTTTTAATATCTTTGGTTAGTGCGCCTTATTAATACCTAAACATAAGCATCTAATTGGGATTAATGGGGGTTGTTGGGACATTAATGGCATTAAAAATGATTAATGGTGGTAATGGGAGCTAAAGAGAGTTAATAAAACTAATGGGTAAGCCCAAAGGTGAGAAATAAGGATGTTGGGAATTTTAGAAGCGAAAAATGTGAGAGTAGAAATGCGTCCTTGGCAATGTTAATGAGTTTAGAATTTATCAATTGTAGATTTAAGCATTTGGGCACCATATTTAGCTTGAAAATCAAGCTTGGAAGCTAATTATTGAGGAATAAACTTTTGACCTCTTAAAGGTTTGAGGTAACTGGGAAACTTTACTTTAGGTAGTTGTTTGTTAATTGAACGTTAATTGTGAAATGTGCATATTGGCATGTATGATTTGACATTTGAACATGAAAGCATGTCATGAGCCTTGATAATTGTTTGAATTGTGAATATGCATAATGTTTTATTTTAACTTAAAATGTGGAATTGAAGTCAAAATGATTTTCAAGACTATGAGCAT